TTTCCAAAACTCCAATATATACAAATCTATCCACACTCTTGTCAAAAATAGGAATCAGAGGACCCTTATTTCTGCCCCAAATACAAGCCCACACCATCAGCTTTACCCCTGGCCCCTTGGTAACTCCATGAATACAGTCTTTGTACCACTTTTCTTCAGGTGTTCTGAACACCTATATACCCTTAGGATCCTTAGACTTTTCAACCAAGGATTCATCACTGAAGATGACTCCTTCAAAGTCTTCCTTTGTCCAATCCTTATACTTCATTGCCCAAGCTAACCTCTTAATAGCATGCTCATCCTTCAGAAGAGCTCTTTTCCTAGCTCTCCATTTCTTTATGTTGACTGAGGCTAAAGCTCTCTTGACTGTTTGGAGGGAGGAATGTGGTGCAACATCATTGCGCAATTCTGATAAAGTCTGGCGGCGTGCCTTCTTAGACTCTCTGACTAGGTGGCGTTGGGTTCTGGAATCGATAATTTTGGGTCTTCCAGGTATAAGGAGGTTTTTTGCATCACCCCTCTTTTGGAAGCGGTCATGGAAAGTTTGAACAGTACTCTTTGGACGGTTTAAGAGCTCTCCAATCTCTCCAAAAGAGATTTTTTTTTTTTCTCAGAGCAACTATTTGCCCTTTCTCAAACTCTGTAAGGTAGCCTGTCTTGTGTGGAGGCATCGTGGTTGAGGGGTGGTTGATTGTAGCAGTGGGGTGTTTTGAGGTGTCGTGCGGTAACCACCCATCGTACGGATCCTTTTGGCCTAGTACTTTATATATAGTAGCGATGGTATTCTCGCAAACTTCGAGGCCAACCCAACCCAACCCCCCTACGAGGCGGGGGGGAGGATACCCGCGCTGAAGGAGTGGGTGGGAGATGAAAACGAGTGCTGGGTGGTGATTGAAGGATTCGCGGCGAGTGTACGATAGTGAATTTCTAATTTATTTTAATTTATTAAGAGCCTTCGACTGGGATTCGGCTTAGATTTGGCCTGGGCTTGTATGAGCGGGGAATTGCGGGAGGTATTCATCGCGATACTCGTTCTGGATCTCTATTGAGAGTGAGTGTGTATGGTACGTACGGCTCGTGGAAAGGGATGGCGGTATGTTATGGTAGAGAGGGGGGGCGACGGAGTGACTGATAGAGGTGGTGGTAGATACCTTAGACCTACTTCTTCCTGCAGTGTACTTTATGATCATAATTGGTACTGGGGATGTGAATGTGCCTGTACGGTGCGGTCTAATTAGTCGCTTTGAGAGGTTTAATCGGCAATCTCTCCCGCTGCAGGGCTGAGATAGAAATAGAGAAAGCTTTCGATGTTTGTTGTGTTCTGACACGGGTAAAAGGAATTGGAATCCAGGGCCATCTTTTCTTTTCTTCTTGACCTGTTATTCTTTTTGCTCTATTGCTTTCGGCAGATGTATCTTTTTTTCCTTTTTCATTCCCAATTCGCTAAGTTACTAACTATTTAAGATTGATTGCTGATTGCTGGCCATCAGCGAGATATGTACCAGTATCAGACTCTGTATTTCAGGGCGGTCCTCAAAGCAGCCAGGACAGTTGGGAGGGAAAAGATTTTAAGGAGGGTAAGGGCAAGAGCCCGAAAAATGATAGTTACTAATATCGAAAGAGAAAATATTCTCTAGGACTAAGTTAGAGCGAGATAAGGTATGATGGAATTTAGGAAAACAAACCCAATTTGTTTAATTAGAAGATTCCCTCTCTGCTGATAATGAGACCGTGTGGTACTGCGCACACAGGTGAATACTTGCCATAGCGTGATAGTAGCCATGGCATCTCATCCTCCTTTTGCGAAAATCTCCTTCTCCGATAGGCAACTGTTGTGGACACCCCTCACATGTTGAGAGCTTTCTCCCACACGTTAAGATTAGGTTTAGATTAGATTTAGATTACACTGTATTTCCGTATAGAGTGATTACGTGTAGGTTCGTTTCTCTCTCCGGGAATGCAGCAACCCTGCCGGAACCTGTGTGTGTGTGGGGCTCTGGAATGAACTGTATCATGCTGTACTCGTACAGGTAGTATGATAACTCAAACCATACCCTGGGCTGCCTCTCGCTTCGTACTAGTATGGGAAGGGGTAGGGAAATCTTTCTTTTTTTTCATGGGTCTTGTTCCGCCATGATCCGGCGGGAGATACTTCCACGTGCACAGCTGAGAAAGTGTCGTGTGAAATCGCTCTCACGATGCTGCGCTTAAAAAAAAGAAAAAAAGACACTATCCCTTGGGGGAGGTGGGGTTGCGGGAAGGACAGAATTTGGGATGAGAGTGTGATAGTATCGTTCCCGGGGTGAGAGGGTCCTGGTCTGTTGACGGATTGCGCATGTGCAGTGGCGGGAGATGGTAAACGACCCGCAGGGTTTGGTTCGCGGTGTTTTGTCCTGGTGGTGCTTCACCTTGAGATCGGGGTGAATGTAGGTTGGAGAGGAGGTTTGTAAGAGGGCTTAAAGTAGGCTCTTGTCGTCTTAGAGCTTGCTATCATTGAATTACTCATGCTAGATTTTCCGCCTTTCCGCAGCCTACGGTGGGAACTTGGATAGATTGGACCACGCGCTATGTGGTAGAAAATTGTCAACTCCGGAAAAGGGGGGAAAGGGCAAGGGGATTCCAGGTGCTAGCACCCTCTGGGCGGGAACTGAATTTTATGAGAAAGAGGGCCACGCACTGCAAAAGGAGGCGACTCGGAGGACATGTCGCTTGGCTTAATTTTTCAGGTTTCTCCGGCGGGCTGGGGAAAACATTTGGGTTGGCACAAAGGCCCAATTCTGAGTAGACGGGGTTAACAATTCCAGCTTTAGGTCTAGAAACCCGGGAGGGGGTGAAACTCAGCAGCTGCGAGAATGTACTCGTACTACAAGTATACTCGTACTTGTACAGTATCTCACAAAGAAGGAAATAAACCCCCGAATAATTCACCACATCCGTCAAGGCTCTAGCCTCCACAGTCATAGGGACTGAAAATTTCACGGGGAATAGTGTTTATCGAGGCGGTGCCGTTCGAGGATCTGCGCTTCTTGAATCTTTTTGACTGGTTTTGACATCCTTGTTCGCTTGTAGCTTGGTCAACCAAGTCTGTACCAGTACCTATACTGCCATTGTAGTTTAGCTCGATTGTTTACCCGATAGTGGATTGTCCTAGTTTCATGGGGAGTGTCGGAGAACTGTGATAATTGGTGGGAATGGTTTTCCAGATTTGTAGAGGAAATAGTACTGTACTGTACTGTACTGTACTTGGGCAACCCAAAAGAAATACCTTGGACTTGCCTCGGATATGATACCAGTACCCTTCTGGTGTCATTAAAGGGTTTCTTGTGACCCGCTTTCTGAAGGCTACCGCAATGTTTCTGCTAGAGAATCTTTAATACGGTGCTTGGATAAAATAGTCTTTGGTTGTGGTTGGGTTGACACTGTCGGTACCGGATCGCTGTCTGTACTACCATAGTACAGTACTGCAGTAGCACAACTTGTGGCATTCCCCAATGAGTTGGCCCCTGTAGGGTGAATTCTGTCGAAATGCGGGGATGGGCTTGCTCCCCGGTCCATCTTTGCTTTTGGCTGATGGGATAGCAATCTATGTCATACAGGCACTATCGTCCTCGCACCGGATAAAAAAGTAGCCGGACATGGGGATTAGAAAAATATATGGCCAAACGCCCGTGCGTATCTATACGAGAGAAAAAACAACAACAAACCGTGCTCTCGGTGTCAGGTACATTACGGTACCAGTACTCGAGTACGGTACTTTTGGCCAGGGAGGATTGCCCTTGCCTAGCTTTTAACCCCTCTCGGGACATACTAGTGCGCTAGAGAGATAATCGAGTACCTTCATATAACTTTACCGAAACTAGGAGAGGCAGGCACCGCGCTTCTATCGGTTCTGTCAACACCACGAAGGTTGTTATTATGGGCATATTCGAAACGTTTGCTTCGACTCGAAACAGGTGGCTTGACCGGAGCCTCTAGACACACTTTGGCTCAGCTCGGGTAGTCTCGTTGGGAGCTGTTCAACACCTAATCCAGGAGTGGTGACTACTGTACTACCGGTAGTACTGGCATGCCCGGAGTAGAGAGAGTATCGTAATGATAAAGACAAACACTTGCACCGCTCCGAAAACCTCTAAATGTGCATCAATATAAGCAGGGGCTCAAGATCGCCAGGGACGGAGAGGGACAGGGTTAGGGTTTAGTCGGGGTTTTTACCGCATATGGCACGCACTAAGCCTGTGCCCTGATATGAGCACGTTTGAAGGCCTATCCACCTTGGAGGCTGGGCCGATGCTCAGCATTCACAAGTGCGAGTAACATCGCTCTTCCCTGTTCGCCTTTGCAAGTAGCCGGGCTGTCTGGTCTGCTGGGGTTACGGTAGTACGGTAGTTCTACTGGTGTTGCACCATATACTCGAGTAAATCATAACAGTATCATACCAGCAGGGGGTTAACGTAACCTAAAAGTGCGAATGATTTAGGGCTTGTTCGGGAAGTGGTTAAACTAGTAGTTTGGGGGGGTGGGGCAGAAATGGGTGGTTTTGACCGACCTTGTGGTTTTGGAAATAGGCTGGGGGGCTCTGCTCGACAACAGCTTCGGTAATTGGGAAATTTGAAACCTACGGGAAACCCGGGATTTCAAAATTTACCTCTGGGCGTAAAATCCAAAAAACCTCACCCCGACTTATCGGTCGACCCCGTCACTTCCAGGACGGCTGACCTCGGTCCTTTCCATACCTCGCCCTTTCATTTGGCCCCACTAGCGGATGAGACTTGTATGGGGAGAAAAGGTTTTTGCTGAATAATTTCCCAAAAAAGGGTCCATGGTTAGAATTCGCGTTCTTGATTTGAGCTGAGACTTAGGGTAGGTTATAAGGTGCCGGCACCATATAGATTTCGGAACTTGGATGTCGTAGAGAAAAACTGAGGGGATTTGATCGGGTAGCTTTCTCTTCCCTACAGTAGCTGCCTGGGTTACGGCACTTTGTGAGGTTCTGTTTTGTATACATCGCCGGGCGTCGCCGATCGTGGTTATGGTTCTTCTTTTCGGACAAACCCAAGTGACAATATAGCATGTTTGCTCGATTAATATTCCGATCGCCCATTGAAGGAACTCAACTCTCCACGGGATCAGCATGTGGAAAATTTCTTGTGGCAGATGGATAAGGTTCTTGACTTACCGGTACTCCATATCCTTGATAACGGAGAACATGGAGGGTTTCGTTGTTAATTCCAACGGACTGCTCGGATCATAACCTAGAAATTTCGCTTCGTGTTTTCTCTAGTTGCTCAAGAATGAGTGCCAGGATGGCACAAACACATGGTTTACAGTACTTGTATGCTGTGAATAGCGAAGGTCCCATACTACCCTAGTCATAGCTGTTTGGACTGAGAGCTTCGGCTTGGATGTTCGGAGAAGGATCCGTTGGTACATCTGATCTAGAGTGGTTGCGGTGAGGGGGGAGGCGAGGGAGTCGTGATTTTGGTTGGGCGGTTAATAGATCCAGTACCGGCACTTGTATCAGGTGGGGTCTAGCAGGGATTCGAAGTATTGTGAAAGGACTGAAAAGATGTTGTGAGGACTGTGCAGGCATCCAATGGTGATGGAAACGAGAAGGAGTATCGTACCAGACAAGTTTTGTATATATAGGATATCTTCGCAGTCCATAGGAATGTAAAAAAAGCCTCCGAAGCTCCTCAGATTATCGGAGTTTAGAGAGTGGTGAATTCTGTCCTCCAACTACAGCTCATCATGAAGCTCTCTATTGTTGCCTCTGTGCTCTTGAGCGCTTGCGCGGCTCTTGCTGACGTCTGTGGTCAATGGTTAGTTTCTCCTTCACTGCTCGGTTTCTTCTGCTAACGCTGCATCAGGGATTCTATAAATGCTTCCAGCAGCTATATTATCTACAATAACTTGTGGGGAATGGGTTCTGCGACCTCCGGGTCTCAGTGCACAGGTCTTGACAGTGCTAGTGGGAAGAGTGTTGCATGGCATACCACCTGGTCGTGGGCTGGCGGCCAATAGTAAGCTTAACATGCTATTTTGCGGTACAATCTCCGGAACTGACGGCCTCTAGCAAAGTCAAGAGTTTTGCCAATGCGAACCTTGTTTTCACCCCCAAGACCGTGGGGGATATCAGGTCTATGAAGAGCACCATGAAATACTCGTAGTTTGTCCTTCCTCCCTTTATGGATCTTCATTCTCATCCGGCCTAGATATAACGGTATAAACGGAGCTGTCACAAACGTTGCATACGATATTTTCACTGCATCGACCGCTGGGAGCAGTACCCCCGAATATGAAGTCATGATATGGCTTGCAGCTTATGGTGGTGCGGTAAGTACTTAATCGATTACTCTTCTTCCGCCATTGCTCACTGAAGTAGGGCCCTATCGGCTCTGAAAATGGCCCCATTGCTACTCCAACCATTGCAGGAAGCCAATGGAAACTTTATGACGGATACAATGGCGCCATGCACGTCTACTCGTTCATGGCTGTTGACTCACCGCTCACTCGCTTCTCTTGTGATGTCAAGCTTTTCTTGACATATCTAGTAGATAACCATGGATTGCCTACTTCACAATATGTTAACAGTAAGTCACCAAGAGGGCTGCAATTGGAGAGTATGGGATTCATGCTGATGCCTCTGCTACAGCATTCCAAGCGGGAACTGAGCCATTCACGGGAAGCGATGCCGAACTTATCGTTTCGGCATTCTCTGCTGCTGTTGTTTAGCTAGGATTGCGTTGAGGATGGCGAGCAAACCAAGGGTTTTGTTGATGGTATTTTTCCAGGTTACTCCGGATTGAGGGATGACATCTGGCATGCTTGGTGAACGTTTCCTGGTGGTCTGGGTCCTTTGCCCCGAGCCCTGAGTGGCGTTTCTGGGCACAGGATCCAGTACTGTATCATGCGACACGGTATTATACTTGCACTAGTAATTGTCCGATCGCATCAAACCGAGGGTCTGTTGGGTTGGAGTACTGTACATTTTTTCCCCCTAAATTTCAATGTCAATTAACATCCAATTTCTATTATTCGGCGCAGCCTAAATCTCGACTTGCTCATTGCGATATCTTCCCCCTCTCTCTATCTTCCTCTAGCCCCTGGCGGACGCGGTGTTGCGAGATCATGACGAACATGCTCTTATCACGAGATCCACCTCGCGAGTCGCGTTGCCCCCCATCGGATTGTCGGGAATTAACGCCCCTGATGGCTGCAATAGAGGGGAGGAGCTCCGAATCTACCGGTAAATGGTTCACTGTGTTACCGGTGTTCGGAGGGTTGGTTATGATATGAGGGAGATAAATATATATATGTGCTGGCGCCCAGTTTACAAGTATGGCCGGTGATTCTTTTTCTTCCAATCCGTTCATTATCATGTCTACCTAAATGGTTTCGAACTTGCGGCTTCACCTGGGAGAGTAGACGGAGAATCCTATTGGGTATAAGTTGGGTAGAGCACGACCCTCCAGCCTCTCCATCATTTCACGAAATAGGGTTAGCACAACTGGGCACAGGCAGTTTTATAGTCATGATAAACGTTGCTGATATGAATTTCAGCGCCACCCTGATCGGTTCAAGTTCTGTCATGCCTTCATCTGCGGTTCTATACCCGATTAACTTTAGTCGGACCGTCTCTAGTGAGTATATTTGTTTACCTCTTCATTATGCGTGGAGGGGCCGAACAAATTGGAGGCTCGATATACACTAGAGGATTTGGGGGGAGTTGAGAGCATAGTGTTAAAATAGGGCGACGGAAGATGAAGGAAATATTGGAAAGTTACTTAAATCCAGGAGGTTCCTGCACGGGCGAAGGGCCCTGAGGAAATCCATCTGACCAAATTTTCCACCACTACCGTTTATCACCTGCCTTCACGATGGGTTTAACATTCTTTGGCCTCGGCCTTGTCTCGGTGGCTTCACTTGGATTTGCGATCCCAGTGCCCCAATTTCAGGCGCCTTGGAATGGGTTTTTCCTCCCGGGGCAGAATTGTGATACCCCAGGAAATAGGCCTTACGGCCCATACGAAGTCCAAGCACCACCACAATACCTTTACGGCCCACAGTCTTATTATGGTACTCTGCCCCCACCATGCGCCCCAAATCCATATGCTCCAGGAACTGGAGGGAAACCCATCCAACCACCTCAGGAAAAGCAGGTTGGGCTTCCCCCGAACTATGGACGTCCTGACTATGGACCTGCCTACGGACCCCCTCCTGCCACTATCAATGGTCCTCCATTTCGCCCATATGTGTCACCCGCTCCACCCGCCAGACCGGAATCTCCACCCGCAAAGGCTGTTGATGAAGCTATAGCAGAAGAAGGTCGACAGAAGCAGAAACCGGGATTGTCTCTTGTGGAGAGACTGACTGCTACAGAAGACCCGGCGGATCCAGGCCCCAAATCGCCTCCTGGGGATGAAAAGGTGGCGGCCCAGCTGAATAAACCGGCTGGTAGTAATGATGAGGGATCAAAGGAGGAGAATTCAATGCGCTACCACGTCAACGTCGGAGGCATCCAGAAGGGCGCCGGAGGTGGCATCACCAATTTCCATGTTTACACTGACGAGAATGGAACGAAGAAGTTCTCTGATGAACTCGACCCCGAGACCGAGAAGTACATTACGGAGAATATGATTCCGAAATTGGGGAATAAGAGAAAGAAGGGCGGTGGGGTTTGGGGTGTTTTCGGGAATTGAAGAGGGGTTTTTCGTGAGTTTCCCTGACCGTACCCGCGGGCGCGCCGTTACTAGGTGATTGATGGCGAGACTAGGCCCGGGGAATTAGATCGCTTTAACACTGGTCCGAAATCCTAAGGCAAGTGGGTATGGTTCAGGGGTATTTTTGGGTTTTCTAGAGCCCAATGTATTTTTACGTTTCCCCCCACAGTCTTTCATGTTCATTTTTGCTTTTTCTGGCTAAATAAATTCTACATGAGTATCTCTTGTCAATAGTATGCAAAGGTTCTCAAAGTCGGTTGAGTAGCATTGGAAGTTGCCCTTCCGGATTGGGCTTAGATATTGGCGCAAGGCTCATGATGACACTTTTCTCTAGTTCAGCACCGGGGGGCCCAAAAAAGGTTCGGCATATTGGCAATTGTAGATGTAGTATGTGATGTATTTCGTGGGGGTTGGCGGAAGACTAAAATGAGAGTCTCGGTGGAAAAGATAGCGTGCTCCTTTCGATTACTGAATTGATCTGCATCCGGAAAATGGTGCGAGCCGCTGGTTGGTGTCGCTTTCGGCCACAACTTGGAAGAAAATTTAGGGGTGGGGGAGTTTGCGGGGCCTGGGATCATATCAGTACATCCGAGTTTTGCAGGCACCACCTCATGGCTAGAATAAGAGATGGTCTATACTCCAATGAGATCCTCTAGTCCCAATGCTCGGGCGGCCGGGTTGGGGCCGGGAGCATGAATTGGCTATTCCCAGACAAAGTGTCCGGCTTCACCTCGGCCACGCGAGTAGTTGGTTCCACCTCTGGAGCCGGCCCAGCCAAGTCCCCTTCACCAACTTATCGGGTTGCATCACTCGTTATTCACTGAAGAGTCAATGATTGTAGATCAAGTAAACACGACGAATTACATCAGGCAGTTGAGGGGAGGGCTGTATAAGAAACCAGAGAATCCGGTCTCTGAAGAAACCATCACCGAAACCATCGCTATCGACATCCCAACCTCAATTCAACTGAGAACACTTTCATTCAATATCCCTAGTTACATTCTTTACTTGAAAATCTAAAAGATGCAGTATTCTACTGCCGCACTTATTGCGTCTTCCATGTTGGCCGCGGTCTCTGCTGCGTATGTATCTATTAGATAATATTTCTTTGGGGTTAACCTAACTTGTGGTATTCCCAGCCCCCCTCCCCGACCTCTCGAACCCCGTGCCTACCCAACATACCAGCCGAAGGACTACTACCAAGCCTATTACCCCAACTACAACGGCTACCAAAACTACTATCCTTACCTGGCAGCCAAGCCTCAGTACACGCACACCTACGACCGCCAGCAAGAATATGACGCCGCGATATCCGCCTCTGAAAACGAGAACGCAAATTCAAACGAGAACCTCGCAGGGGCCAAATCTGAGAACGCGAACGAGAATGCCAATCTGGCAAAGGGCGGTGAAGCCTTCGGTTTCGGCGCCCTCGAGTCCGACAATCGCAATCTCCTCGCCAACGAGAATAACATAGAGGTCGCTAACGCCAACAAGAACGAGCTCGGCGTCGAAGTGGCCAACTTCAACGCCAACGAGAATAGCGCCCAGCAGGAGTCAGCAGCTAAAGCCGAGGTCCAGGACAAAGACATGGTCCGCTTCGATGACTTCTTGGAGAATGAGAATACCAATGTCAATGACAAGTAGAATGATAATTTAGACGCTAATGGCAGCCCTGGTATTATTCGCCCATGGAATATAGGCTCCGGCGGACGCAGGGGAGGACGTGGCTACTGATATTCAGCACCCTTGGAGTAATATGAGGCGCTAGGAGAGGGGAGGTGCTAGACAGGGGTTTTCATTTCTTTTGTTGTTTTTTATTTACCTTTAGAACGTCACATGTTGTGATGTTGTGGCATTCATTCTACCTACTTTAATATGCCCACTCTTTTGTGTATCATCTCGAACATTCTTGTTATATGCTCAGGCTATGGATGACTGTTAGTATGCTTAAAACATGCTGTTGTGCCCGTGGAGGGGTTAGTTGGGCGCCAAACAGGAGTAGATTTACATTTTTAGTGTTACTAGGGCTATCGTAGTCATACGCTTCGAGTGATTACCATGATTAAAGTCCCACCCCTGCCATGGGGCGAATTTCCCTATATCCCGACAAATCCCATTTAGCAGAATTAGCGACAGCCCGATCCCAGTAGTGATAGCACCACCCCAGGCGGTTTAACAGTTGCTAAGCGGTGCGGTATCGGACACCCCAGGAGCCGGGAGATGGGCCGGACTCCCCATAATGAGGGGCTAAGGTGTTAAGATCTCTTCATAGTGGTTAACTGAAGCATTTACCCGAAAAGCGATCCCGCGGCTTGTTGAGCTGGCGAGGTCTACCCAGGACGGGGTTATCAACCGAAGAGAACTGAGCGATGAGGGGAAACTCGCGGGTTTCCTCTTGCGTATTTTTCCAGGCTCGGGAGATAGCTAGTATTCAGCTATACCGCTAATTCTTGGAGTCTCGGTTTAACGCTAATACTACCCAAGTTTTGGACGGGAAATTAACAACGAATGTGAAATCGGCACCAATAACTACCATCGGTGCTGTATCACGGAAGATCGTGACGTGTAACGTAGGCCAGCTGCGGGCCGAAACAGGCTCCGGTTCCGAAGCGTGTGCTTTCCCTCTCTCGAGCTACCGCCACCCAAAATCTGAGGAAATATCTCCCGGATCCTGTGTAACCGGCGCTAAATGATGAGAGATGTTCGGGAGAACCCCCCGAACAGTTAACCTTCCCCCCAAGCTCAAAGAGGAGGGGCGCAATTCCAGGATTACCTGCTCTACAGTTCTCTAGCACTTCCTGATAATCGATTTGCAATATCCCGATCCCTTGAGTTACCCAACCATTAAGTTAGGGCGCGGAGAAGGAAGCCCCCCCCAGGTTTGGTTTATGTGTATTAGAGCTATGATATAAATTTAGTTTCTTTCACGTACAGAGCGAATAACCTAGGGAGCATACCCCGAACTTTCTTCTTACACTCCTTTTAACACTTGCCAAGTCTCCTTTTTATTTTTATTTTCATCCCACCTGTGTCGGTTGCTTCGGCCTCCAGGTTAACACATCCGAACCTTTAACTGGGTGTTGTAACGGTTGGGAAATCCAGCGGACCGCTACCGGGAAGTTCTATCAAACTGTGACCGGACGGCTTCAGCTAGAGCTGACCGTAGCTATCGTACATTGCCCTTCAAAGCTACTCTCGCCCTGATTGGTTACATGCGCTGACGAAATTTGCTTGTATTCTTTTCCACCTACCTCTCCTCATCTGTGCTTGTATTTCTAGTATCGCCCCCTCCAGCTTCAACTTTGCGGAAACTAATCCATAGAATACAGGGCCGGGGAGTTGGTCAGACTTAGAAGTGGGTCACCTTTTGGATTTAGCTCAATCCTCAACGCGGAATTCTCGAAAAAAAAAATCAAGAAAATAAAACGTCAGAATTCGGCTCAGAGAGGGGCGAATCTAAAATCCCGCACTGCCAAAAGGATGTGCTACTCTTTTGAATTCTATCTACCAAGTGTTCAGGGTCAGCCGGAATCTCTGGATTTCAACTTTTTCCGGTCTGTTTCAACCTACTTATTACCCCCGCTGACCTGATTCCCGGTCTCGTACGTTGAATAGATGTTCAAGGCTTCCTTTATATTCCCATTTCGTTGAGGCATTTCTCCTGACTCTCCTATTACCTGCTCTGATTACTTTCTATCCTTTAGTCTCCTGGGAGATCTCCTGGTTCCCCCTTATCTTAGAAACTATGTACCCACATAACACTTACCTATCAGCGTCCAGCGAGTCACAAGAGGTGCGGTGAACTTCTCACGCAGCCCCACCTAAGCCGAGTTGATGCAAAGGGGTTGGCTGGGCTGGCTGGGCAAAGGGACAATTACTGTTGGCCTTCTAAGTCTCACCGATTTACTTCGGCAGGACTTACTTGCAAGACACTCAGTCGTATGACCTACGAGCAGGTATCGCGCTCGAGCAACAGCACCGCTACATATACCGGATATCATATTCTCCTATGTCGTCCACCATATGGGTGCATTTAATTAAGGAAAATTGGCCAGACACTTTTAACCAATCCCCCCGGCAACCGCATAAACCCTCGAGTATCTGAGCTTTCCCAGCCTAGAGATAGATCAATTTCCTTGAAAAATAATTTCTAAGACCACGCAAGGGCACTTACTCTACAGACTAAAGAATTTGTGTAGGACCCAAGGTAAATTTGTTGCATTTTTGGAATTGGCCAATTTTCGCTGAAATGCACCCATATAGTAACAAACTACTAATCACAAACACTCACTCGGTCATGTATTACGTTACTCCCGGAATACCGTATCGGAAGATGCGCCAAGTTCCACGCAACCTGGTGACCACCTAGGGCTAAGCAAACAGCGACTTATGGGCCCTAATCACGAAGCTCTTACAACCATGACCCACTACCAGAGAGGGAATCCCGACCCAGCGCCACACTATTTGAGGCTCCCCGTTCCATCTACCGGTAGGGCCGCAAATACCCCCTCGTATTACATCCCTCCTAAATCCCATGAAGACCTCACAAAGAGCTAAGCCAAGAACCCATCAGGGCCAGGCAAAACGAGATGGCCAGACATACTGTCGGATGGTCCCGGTGATACCGCGCCGCATCCATCTACAAACAGCCTCGCCCGATTGACCATCTATCGGAGAACGGCAGCATACAGTACTCAGGGCATTTAGGTGCGTGTGACGTTGGATCAGGCACATCTTGGAACTCTAGGAAGCGTCCCGGTGCGTCGTACCGCCGATCTTAGGCACGCTACCCGCGCGAAGCCAAGGCCATCTTTGGCGGCGGTACGGTGTCACGGGCACCAAACCTGCGGGAGGGAACGATCGAGATTAAGGTCCTTCTCGAACGAGACTAAGCAAGGGTCGGATCCGGCGTGGGGAACATGAATGACGATTCTATGCTCGGGATGTATCGGTCAGTAGATCAACATTGGCAAATCCCCCCCCTCCCCCCGAGGCCCTAGTTTCACACAGACCTTCGATACTTGTGATTCTGGTAACCTGAACCTACTTGTGAACAATTATAGGGTATCATAGGAGAGAGTATGATACTGGCCTCCGGTTGCCCGGACTTCGGGGTTTTTCTTCGAAACTGTGATTATATAATATGCAGTTTATTCTCCATATTCGTCCTGGGGGCTCGGGGCCATGCGACTTCAAATTATTCCTACTGTTGGTGGAAATAAGGAATGTCTACCTGGTGACCTTCTTGAGGTCCTTAGTTACGGTTGCTCACGTTCCGTCCGAGTGAACCTCTCTCCCGGTGACACGCCTCAAGGTAGTCGGAAAGGAAATCGCGGTTGGGAAATATTATTATCTTGGATTAAAGCTCACGTTCTGAGTTCCACTCAGAATAAATAGGGTACCTAATGGCAACTGCCGCAGAGAATTTTTCCGGTGCACAGAGAGGGTTAACGAGAACGGAGATTTCTTCCGCACAACTTCCGTAATACAAGTACTCGTATAGAGAAAAAGGTGAGTAAGGATACCAACCTTTTTGGGATGGTCAAGAAAACAAAAGCGGACGGGATATCATGTATGACTTGTAAAGACGACGCTATAAGTCCCGAGCCCTCCGAGGCAAACCCTTCCCCTCGCCAGTAAGCCTAATGGCGAAAACTCTCCCTACAGTAGTAGTACCTTTGTAGTTTCAATCACTAGAGATTCCCCTTATCGTAGTTAGAGACCCCACCGCCGCGTGACGATTTTCCGAAAATAGAACCTCCAATATTTCGGACCATGGCTAGAGCATTCACCGTAGCACTAGATATTCCCAAGGCAGTGCAACCCTTCCCATCTCACACCACCTCCCCGATCTCCGAGTGAGTGTGCGTGACACACATCTAGCCTAAATAACAGCGCATCTCGGAAAAATGCAAAGCGATCAAGCGAAATGACGAATTACCCGTACCAACCCATGTTTCAGGACCACCCACCAAATATTTTTCGACATATTAGGGGGATACTAGAGTTTTTCGAGTGCATAAGCGGTGTATGAAACCGGGGCCTTGGGAATATATTGAATTGACGACCACACCGCATAAGACTTGGCTGATTAGGATCGCCCGCGTCTGCGAGGCTCATGCAGCTAAGGAACCGTGTTTGGTTTCTAGCGCCCGACATATTCTAATCGTGTGGAGCTGCAGATGATGCCAGTATATGAAGGCTCTCCCATCGCCCAGAAGACGCCTCCGGACCAGAGGAAATTTGTTGGCATTATCGACGGCCGGGTGGAGCTATGTGTGCTCTTGTTTCCACATCCTGGACGGTGCGTTGGGCGAGAAATAATCTATGTATTCTAGCAGCAAAGGGTTATTCTTTGATCACCCAGAGCGGTTTTCGATTTAGAAATTCTTCCTCGGGAGATTCGAAACCCCTTGGCCATGTCTCTCCACCATTTTATTACGGGTGTGTGGAGGGACAGCGGCATGCAGGGAGATGAGAAACGTGCGGTGATCTATGGAAGGATCTGGATGGCCTCATTATGAACTGCATTTCTCCCATCCTCTCTCTCATGCGTTTACAGGAAAGATGGGAAAACAAGAAAATATGTGCTTCCAAATATCATTCTCCCCCTTTTTAACGCTGGTAAAGTGAGCTACAGGGCTGTATCCGTAAAAACATGATGAGTATTTATGCCCCAGAGCAATGATCTCCTCTTATACCGGATTGTCAAGAATCGAGAACCGGCCTGGGTACCACACCGCCGAGTGCCGTCCCGAGGGGCCAGTATGAACTTTCGGCCTAAAGGCCCACCTACACAAACTTGAAATCCTCCTCATCAAGAAAAGAGATGAGATCCAATTCCTGGTACGAACACCTCTACGGATCCTGTCAGCCCCTTGTCCCCCGAGAACCGAGATCCTGTCAACAAAAGTTAAACTATAGTACAAACGCGCCATCCGGCAGCCATAGGGTTCCGGCTAGCCTCACGGCGCCCTGTGTGATGCGCTGTCTAGTACAGTAATGATCCACATCCACTTTGCCAAAACATTAGTAGTATTCGCAACTGGGTAGTCCGGCGGTCCCCGAGGGTAGGACAAGGACGGACTACAACTCACAGTCCGTCCAGTCCTGGAGAGAGTTGTGCCCGGGGCTTTTGGCAAGAGGACGGGGAAGACCATGGGGCATCGAAACTAGTCGATAAAATGTCCTAGACCGTGGGGCCCTACGAGGCCCCACGGAAAGGTTGTTCCCCACAGATCCCCATGGATCCCTACCTTCCTCTGGTGAAAGTCTGTGGTCCTTTGCCGTCGCCCGCAGTCCTTGTACCAGGGCGGCAAAATTATGTCTCGGCATGTCGGGCCCATGGCCTTTGCCAAAGCCTGTGGTCCCCAATATTGTCCGGACTGGACGGACTATAGATTTGTAGTCCTATCCTGTCTAGTCCTCTTGGCAGTCTCCCCATGCGTCCTCCAGGGCCCCCGGACCGTTGCAAACACTAAAAGAGAGACCACAAATACCAGGGATCATGGTCGTGCGCTGCCCTTTGCTGGCCTTGCCGGATAAGCGGATAGTTTTCTCGAAAGGAGTTGTTAGGGGGGGGTTTCTTGTTAAATTTTAGATCCTAGGGCTCCCTTCTTAGTATCCATCTCTCTTAGGATACGACCGGCTCGGACCATGCGTGTGCCTACAGCAGGGGACTGGGGGCTGCTTCCGGCAGTGCCACGTAGGCTGTGGGCGCTGCACAGTTGTATGATAGCCTTACGTCCGATCCCCGAGACGGCCTGGTACGGTTAGTTTCCAGACCTTTAACCCTGGCGGTTGAGTCGGCCGTAGTCAATTGCCCAGATCTAGGAGAGAAACCTAATCGCCAGGGCCAGCGGAAACAAGAATGCTTTGGAAATCGGAGATGAGGCGACAATTCCCTAACATAAACAAGGTAAGATAATTTTAAAGAAATATTGGAATCAGTGCAAGCACTGCATATATTCACAATCACTCACTCGGCCAATCCGCTCCCAAATTGGTCGAATGCTTTTGCTTCTAGGTAGAGGAGTAGTGAAGACTCAATATCCTGTACAATCTCGACATCCCAATGCTTATACCCCCTGGAAGCCGCGTTTGGTACTGTGCTCCGGGCGGGAAACCCCGTGCAATACATGTGCGCCGGAAGAATTACGCGTGCGGTCTAGAACAGCTATGATACTTAGATAACACATTACCCAAGAAAGAAAGATAACCCTAACTTTTAAATGCTCTTGGTTTTTCCCAGAAAGAAAATTTCAATCCCCGCAACACTCCCGCCCAGAGGCCCCAGGAGAAGTAAGAAGGAAAATACCGCCAATGAACCAAGTCAGGACCCACCAGAGGGCGAGCACAAATGGGGCCCAACAAATATATTTGGAAAAAGTGAGATGGGTATCGAATCGGTTCGCAAAAAGATCATGATCCATGGAATCCAGTTAAAGTGCCATGCATATGATATTGTGAGGAAAACGGGCAAAACAAAAGGTCACGTAGAGTAAATAAGAAATATCACATCGTGTCTGAAATCAATACGGGCGATGGGAAATCTCTAAGCTCCCCCGTTGCACCGAAAAAGATTCAAAGTGATCAAATAAATCGTAGACCATTTCGGTCCTAAAACAGACAAAATTCAAACGCTCTAGCCAAGCCCAGATGGAAAAGAGAATACCCGAAGACTCGTGATTAGAAAAAATATAGGAATCAGCGTTGGATCTGCGCTCCGTACCGGTAGTATCCTTACACCTTCGTCTTATGCGGATAGGGGTGGATTGCAATGGATATGTTTAAAACCATTTTTTGAACAGCCTTGGTGTCGTGGTGGCAGTACTTGCACTCGAATTCTAAAGAGAATTATTCTTAGCCATATACCCACAAGCCCAACCGAAATGGATAGATCCTACCCTTCGAGGGATAACGGAGCCAACAGACCCTTTCCTCACAAGATTTGTAAAGGGGTTCTTAGAATGTCGTGTAGAGCTGCCCGTGGGACTGCGGGTTCGATCTACAGATTTCTATAGAAATAGATTTAGACCCCTATTCGAGCTCGGAACACTAAGATGGCATAACAAACCTTGCGAGAGGACCCTTTCTCCGTTTTATCATCGGAAGACCTCTGCGCCAATAACAGTCAGTCAATCTCACAGTACATCACACTCAGGAGCGGAGAGGACACACAATGCGATCGAATTTTATTGACGTCTGGCGCTGGAGCCTTCTCGCCTTTGCCCCCCGTCGTTTCTCCTCCCGGAGCTTCTCCAACTGCAAACAGCCAATTAGAACTGTCGAAAGCAAAGCACCGAGAACAGCGTGGCTGAGATAGCGGAAAAACTTGTATTTGATATCGTGAATTGTGCCCAGGAGCAATCCTAGAAGCGGGAGCCAACCGAGGTGGAGAAGCGGGGGAGCAAAGGCTGCAAATAAAAAAAATAAACCTGGCCAACTCACCGGTCCCAGTATTTCTTCTTGTTCATCGCTCCATCCTAACTGAGCCTTTCTGAGCCTTTCCTCAAGTATTAGCATCTGTTGTTCCTTTTCTTCAGACCATTCTTCATAGACAGCCGCATCACCATCTTCCCCCTTCAACCATTCGTCGGCCGCGGTATCGGTAGAGTCATCCCTGGACATGGCAACTGATGGTTGGGCCTGATCCACACACGTCAAAATCAATCCAAGAGCTATCGCCGGTTAGGCAACGAAATTTCCGGGCTATGCATACCCCACAACTCCCCCAACAAAGGCCTCTGTCCATAAGGCGCAACCTCTCCCTATCGATTTCGGCCCCCATTTGCATGATATTCTCCCGCTCTCTGTCCAAAGTTTCACGTTCAGTTTTCAGCAGTTTCTCCACCGCGTCGACCTTGTTGACTCTATCTTGGAGGGTTTTGAGAAGGCGAATATTTGCCTGGGATAAGTTCTCCAGGTCGCCGAAGTCTCTAATAAGGGGGTGCCCGGACTGGAATCCTACGGCGGCAGGCTTGAATTGGAGTTCCGGGGAAGAGCTTGGATTGCTGGCCGGTCGGATGGGAGAAGCAATTTCATTCTGGTGACCGGGAGGCATAAGCCCATTTTTGGGGTGGGGGGGAATGTTCTCCGGGGGTCTGTTTGCCTGCTCCTGAGCAAGGGCAACGAGAGATTGAGCCGAAGGAGTGCGAGATGAAGCGGGGGTTGGATTCATAAGATGGATCTGGTGCAAGTCTTGGCAAATTCTCTTTAAATCCCTATCCGTTTCTCGGATAGTCTCCAGAAGTGCTCTAGTAGCAGAAGCCAGGCGGGATCCGCCCCCAAGCGGGTGCCGCTCGGTAGTGTCCATCGGGGAGCACTCGGCATCGTCATTTTTGTTCTGGCCATCCGGCGATACCGGCCAACCGGAATTCTCGATATCTGCAAGTTTGATAGCTTCAAGACAGTGTGGACAACGAGCAACAGGTGTGCAGGAGCTTTCACTGGCTACTGTACAGACAGAAAGGGTTAAGAGAGATCTAACCGAGACGAGAGACCGATTTCGTGGAAAGTAGGCTTGGTTTGATGCAGGGACCGCTGGTGCCGGAGAAGTTGTGCCGGGTGTCAAAGCGGGAGTAGGGGGGTCCATCCTCACAATCATGAACGAGAAGATAACCTAAGATTTAGTTTGGCTGGTGTTGCAACGGTGGGTAGTGATGTATCTGCGAAAGAAGTCTATGCGCTGTGATGTGACAGACCAGCGAAAGAGAGGTTGAATTGAGCGATGTGGGGCAGGATCCGGGTAAGAAACAAACTCACGATGGACCGGGAAAGGTAGAGGGCCAATGTAATACACACGGGAGCGAGGTTCACAACGCAAGGCAACGACAGGAATGAGGCTCCGGGTGTCAAACGGATGGCAAAGCGCTGATGGACGAGTAAAGGGCTCTGGGTTTAGGTCGGGGAGAAGTTGATACAATGCGGCAGTCGTATACGGTACTACGACTGTGCGGATTATAATGTTTTCGATGAGGTTGGAACTGGTGCAATTGCCTTGGACAGGGTAAAGAGGAAGCGAGAAAATGCATTCAAGGACCGAAGATGATATCTTGAAAATGCCAAGGCCAAACCATCCATCAGCTTGACAACGCTCTTATTATAATCGAGATTCCTTCTCCGCCCCCTCGCATGTTCCGGGATCAGTCCCTACCAAGCCTCCGCCTCGAGTTCTAGGGATTTTCCGAGTGCTAATGTGAGTGACCACGGGCGTGAAGGAGTAAAGAGAAGGGAAAGGAAGGGAGGACGGAACAAAAGAAAAAAAGAAAATAACGGACGATGAGTGGTGGACTGTAGGGCCCAGTAGGGGGGAAAAAAAAAGGAACGTCAGAGGGATCGGCGGATCGCTTTCCCCGTGGTGGGGTGTGTCCGGGATTGGAGCTTAACCTTGTCATTATTCGGCCTCTTGCATTTGTGAAGATTACTGTACTTGATTCACTGTGTCTCTCAATTCCCTTGTCCCCTTGTCGGAACGATAGCAATGATTGGAGGATGGATCCATTCTACCTACTTTTCTTCATGGGAAGCGCTCGCTGCACACACGCACACATTGCTGATTCCTAAGCCCACGCACGCTTTTTGGGAGTAGCTGTGTTAATTGTTACAAGGCGATTGATTGCCATGACAACCTCAACGAGAAAGTCACTAAATCGAGGTGGTCTAGGTACAGTGCCTATTGATAGGATGCGGTAGGCAAGGCAGTGCACGGCTCGTAGTGAACTCTAGGGATCAATTCTGGACGTGGGTGTGGAGAAAGTTTCAATCCAAACACGGACCAAACCAAAAGAGAAGGAAGAAAAAGAGCCCTGGTTGGAGCTCGGCAGTCGGGTCGCACAAGATCATTAATGTACCTTTCTTAAACGGCACGAATGGGATACGTAGACCCTTCTCCCTGCCCAGGCACCAGTAAAATCCGCGAGCAAAGTGTTCTATAACTGCAGTGCTACACCGGGAGCTCGCTGCTTCCAGCGTCATGGATTATCATACCTTCCATGGTGCGGTGTTTGGCGCATACCGGCAGACAAGTCGGATGTGGGGTTATAATGACGAGTTCACCCAGACTTATATTTTGATACCGGTAGTTGCAGGTGAGATAGGTTGCAGCACTCGCCCACCAGACCTTTGCCCTTGAACTGCCAGCAGCCAGACCCCTAATTCTATCTACACCCACCGGTATGGTGAAGCAATCTAGAAAGCGATCGTCAGTGCGGCTTCCCCGCCAAGAAGGTGAGTGTTGATAAACATCTCATCCCTCGATCCTCAAAACCGGGGAACAACGAACGGGATGGTATCCGTGCTTGTTGCAGAGGCCTGAAGCATTCTTGAGGGTACGTAACCTCAGTGAAACCATTCTCCTGCAAGTGCTGAAAATTACCGTGTCACAAGCGGTAATTATGGCTGAATACCGTACGGTAGTCGGATTGCAGCCATCGGGTGTGAGTTCCAGCCTGACTGGCTGGCGCCACGTTGATCCCCATGGGGCTATGTTTACTTTTTCTACCACAGCACGGTATCCAACCGTACCTTCGACCGCTTTTTTAGGACGGTAAAATAAAGTGGGGGAAAAACTTTTTTTCAATGTGCCATTCCACTCGGGTACTTTTGAGACTCTGCGCTTCTCGAGAATCTTAAAAGTCAGGTGATGTACCTTCACGTCTCAGGAACAGAGATCTCGATTGTGTGCATCCGCCGCGGTTGCTTTTGGTGATCGTGATACAGTATCGTAACACCGGGAATCCTATTAGTTGAACCGGTAGTCGCGGTAATTGTGCGGGTACTCGTACTGTACCGTAGTTCCGGCAGTGCATTCAGAGATGTGCCAACGTCGAGGCTTTCTCATGCATGCGGGGCACCTGCACAGCCATAGAGGGCTGAAATCTGACGAGTGACCTTCTATGAAGGCATTTGTTTGCCGTGACGCGGGAGTGTCGTCGCGTGAATGCGGCATACATGAAATTTCATGCCCCAATTCCCAAAACCCACACCAGGACAAACGGGATCTAGAGGAAAATAAAAAAAGCTCCCTCGCTAAACCAAATTTCCACTTCAGAACATGAAAAAAAAAATCAATCCCAAAGCGGGAGCTAGCGTGCCAGAGGGAAATCAGCAAATTACTGGGGTACTCGAAAAACGGGAGCACATAACCCTTGATTCAATAGGGATCCCATTCGATCGGTAGAAATGGTTTCCCGACTGCCATTGCATCCCACCCTTCGGGGTGCGATACCTATATTTCTGTTCTATGCAGGGCGCTTCTCAGCCGCGGATGTGTGGAGACCGGAACCACTCGAGCATGTACGAGTACCGTGCTCAATTCGGCGGATTTTAAATTCTCCTGGAAGGATCCCGCCCGCATCAAAACAGGCTTTTCGTACCCCCACCACGTATCGCACTCATTAGCGATAGATCCGCAGGAGTCGGGTTTCCTTCGCGCCTGCCCCAGTGCCGGAGAAAATACGCATATCCGTGTGGGGAATGGGTTGCTAGGGTTCCCTACATGAAGTTTCTGTCCATCCTGATTTGTAGGAATTAGTATTCCAATTTTCCACTACCCCGGAGGGTAGGTAGAGCACAGTACCCCCACTCTTACTATTTGACAGGGAAGGTTAGTGGAGACTCTCAGGTCTAACATCATTGGTAGAAGCGGATGTAACTATGCCTTGTCAACCACAACTCAACAAGGTAGGATCGGTCCCCAGGATTTTTTTGTCGCGATGTTTGAGTCACATAAAGATAGCAATTTCCAGCCATCCCCCCCCATAAATGCACCCCAAGAGGTACTGCCCTGTAGGCAATCGGAATCCAGGCGGATACTCACAGGGCTGAATAGTTTCTGGGGGTTTAGTCATATTTTGTATAGGCCAGCTTCTAGCAGTTTAAACGTTTGACGGGAAACCTAAGGTATTTACCAGATCACGAGGCCAAGGGGCACCTATGTCAGTACCCGCAGTGCATATATATAATTCACACCTCAAACGTCGCGAATTAGGGTTTGCTCGTTTGGAGTTCCAACAAGTAAGGTGGGTGGGAGAGCCCAGACAATACTGTGAGGAATTTGCGCTCCTTTCACAAGGGTCCGGTCCTCCAGGACACCTCACTTCGAATATTTAATCAAGGGTTGGGGGGTGAGCCAAGCCTAGTAGAGGGTGACGACGCAGATTTTTTTTTTTCTCATGCACGATACCAGCCAGGTCTCAGCTGGATTGGCTAACCACCGAGAGCTCACTGGATACTGGTTCTGTAATACTGGGCATCATTCCTTTCCCACAAAATACCGGGGTGATTGTGCCTCTACAGGTTAACTGGCCGCTCGGTGCTAAATACCTTGTGTTGATATTCTGAATCTGTTGGAAGCGCTTCAATTGAGAGCACTGCAGGTCTGTTGCCTCTTGGTCACTGTGCATCGAGTGTCACTTGGCCTCCCTAAAAGTTCATCAGTACGCAGCCATGCCCCCTCCGCGGATTAACACCTGCTTCCGGCTGTTTGCTCCCCCTCCCTCTTTCTGGAAGGAGATATTGATCGGTTTGCCTCCCAGCCCGGAGCACCCAAGATATGTGTAAGCACGAGCCCCGCTGATTGACTGTTGGGGCCGAAGGATAAACGAGCTACTAACCGGGAAAATATCAGAACCCCCGGGCCGAGAGGCCCAGAGTACGTGCCGCTACGCAAGTGGGATCCGGTGAAACAATAGGCCTCCCATCGTATTCTCACTCGGCAAGGAGGAGTCCCGGGTAGCATAAGATCAACAAACATGAATCATAAGAAATCACTCACTTACCAATCTCGAATTACTCGGACCACCCCTGTTCCCCCAGCACTAGGGACGTATACGGACCAGGATGGCTCTATCAATATAAACGCAAGGAGGATAATACTAACTTCCGGTGGCATAGCTAATAGTGAGCATGGGAGAATGAAGAACGAATATAAAATGAGTGTGGTTTTATTAGAACCAGCATATGGGCATTTTTGGTTGTCACCGGGGAAACAAGTTCGAAGTATCACAACCAAAGACAAAATTTCATAATTTTGTATGTAAAACATACTACAGAGGTCGTTGGAGCTTCTAGAATATTTTCTGAGCTATTAGGAGTATGCTCTAAAGGTCTATCTAGGTGGCTATACCAAAATAAATTTTTGGGGGTTGAGTGCCCATATGCTGGTTCTAATAAAACCACACTCAAATGGTGATGTGGTCTCACTCCAGAACAGGGATTTTGGCATAAAGACTCTCTAGGCCTATTTGCGGTAATGTATCCGGGAATAGGAAAATTGTTAACGGTGGTCCAGGGGTGTATTTAAAATTAAAATATCCCCGGCATGGAATGGCGAGTTTCCTCGTTTCCTATGTCTAGACTGCGGATCCGAGTGACTAGTAATGTTAATGACCACCGTTGCTATCATTTTTACCTTGTCCTGGATTTATTTACTATTTCTTCCCATTTCGACTTCCCCTCCTGCTCTCTAGACCCTAAATAAACCTCTGTTTCGCCTTCGTTCACCTGGTCTGACGGACTTGATTCCTTCGGAACAAGTCTAGAGACAGGCTAGAACCAGGCCGAGGCCGCTTTGCCCACAGCAAGTAGGAGCATCTAGGCCTATGGAGCACACCAGCCATAAGGCGGGGGACTGTCCTAACTCCTATCCCATAGATTGCAGGTTGATTTCGTGATCAATTGCAAAGAAGAGTCCGGGCACTTACTTCGCCCGAAGTGTTATATCATACCCAGAATAACCCTCTTTAGGTAGAAATGCCCCGAAAACGGTTGTCGTCACCAGCCCATTTTGCACCAATAGTGGGCATTTCCGAAACCACCCGACAATCCCATGCCCACCTCAATTGATCACACATCGGTACAGGGTATCAGGCAGTTATACTAGTTCCACAATGTCCAAATTTCAGCAGAGTCAGGAATGTCGTGCGTTTTTGGCTGGCCGTGAGAACCGGAATCTCAAGTTAAGTACCTCCTTCTTTTTATGAGGGACGACTCCAAATTGTGGACCCTTGACCTCAATGTGGGCTCCTCCTACTG